TGTCTCTTTTTTCGTTGTACATGTCTGAACCAGAAATGTACCAGAAAAAATAGTTATGGAAAAAGTCAGATCTTGAGTCAGATATGATCAGACTTGAAGTACACCTGGGACAGGCCTGACCATAACTGGACCAGACATGTTCATGTCTGAAATTACATGATCAGACCTCAAGCGGACAAGATCATACCTGACTTTTTCATAATCATACCGTGACCATACATGATCATGCCTGAAAATAAATGATCATACCTCGATCAGACATAATCAAACCTGATAATACATTATCCTTCCTAAACCAGATCTGGTTATACTTTACAAAGCAGGGTGATTTCATGCCAAATGAGCATATTCTTCTTCAGCTCACACATTCACAGATTCATCTATTCACGTATTCGCATTTACCCTGCACTACGTGGATTTTACCTGGCAATTGAGGAGGGTTTGCTAGAATAATATTAGGTTGCACATGATGAAATGAAATGAGAGGTGGTTTAGATGTCTCATGGAAGTGATGAAAGGAAGAAGCAACTGAAAGGTCTGAACGGCTTGTAACCAATAATATTAACATTTGACACCTATTAATTCATTTTCCATGTCAAGTTCAAACATGAAAAATTACTTAAGTCTTTTCAGCCAACTCGGTCCATACATCATTCCTATGAGATACATATTTTTGCATTTCAGCCAATATTATAGAAGTTAGGAATTTAATATAAGTTTTCTTATGGTAAACACAAACATGACCCAATTTTATTACAACCGAACTAAATTTTCTCTCCGTGTTTTGAAACGTTATGTAAGTTACGTGATTAATTTTGTCATATTATCGAAAAACAAGACATGTGACATAATTTTTTTCTCTTTTTTCTACAATAGAAATGGTTTATTTCTAACAAAAGAAACAACATAAATAATTTTATAACATGGTGCAGGAGGCGTTGGGGTAGGTAGACACGACGAGGAGGAGTCGCCCACTTTGGTCACGCAGGAGCAGCCGAAAAGCAGTTGCCGAATATCATTTCTGTACAAAAAATACGTCCAGTATAACCGGGTAAAGTCATGTCTGACCAGGTATAGCATGTCTGACGAAGTACAGTCATGTCTGACTCAGGTATAGTCTGCAAACGGCAATGTTTGCAGAAATGATCACATGTGAAACAGATATGCACAGAGCTGGAAAAAAGCTAGTGATTGGAAATTGTATGATCATACGTGAAACTGCGAGAAAAATTCAGTTCAGTAGACCTTTTAAAAATTGTGAACGCGTAAATCCAAAGATGGGATAAGGAATTGTAATTAAATAATTTGAAGGTAAACTAAAACGTATACATTCATAGCAAACAGGAGCATTCTCGATAAGCGTACAGCCTCAGTTCCTTGGGTAGCACCATTATTTGTTGTGCGAAAGACAAAAATTGAATTCAAAATTAGGCGAAGCAATTGTTGGATCAATTAAGCAATCCCCCTCCCCCCCCGTAATGACCAATTGAGCTATCTTCCCCCGGTAAGCCGCTACAAAAAGACATCAGAAAAAGCAAGTAGATAGTCGATGTGTTCGTACCACGCAATCAAGTGACCGTCTGAAGAGTATTTTATAAGAGTATCGAGAAAAATTTTGAAAAGAAAAAAAATCGAATTTTATTCAAGAAAACATTTTTGCAAATTTTTGTTTGGGGGATTGCCTGATCGAGGTATGCGACTTACGAGGGTTGATGCTCTAGCCTTCTATCTGAATATCAAACACTGTTCTCTGCAGCATCTTAATATTGTAAGCAATACATTTTTCCTTCTTTGAGGACAGAAAAATGTCGCTTTATAAGCCTCAGTTTATTGATTCTTTTCCACTCTGATTTTAATTTTTGAGTTTTGATATTGAAAATTTGGCGTCTCACATTCGTTCGGAAATCTGTTTTTTTGATTTCATATCATTTAAACTATTTTCAAGTGGTTATAAACATGTCTCAAGTACCTATTGAGCTTTATCCCCCCTCCCCTATTGGCCTAATGGGGGTGGGGGAGATTGCTCAATTGATCCCAATTGTTTCTCTTCAATGAACAGCTTAACAGCTTAACTTCCACACCAGATAATTCTGAGCAATAAACAGCTTAAATTCCACACCAAGCGTATATCCTATTGCATCCACTCTTGTAATAGCCAAACTTGGTTCATAAGCAAACAATTGAAGGAAAAAAACCCTGCTCTTGAAACGAAGAAAATTCCAGCGGACGCAGCGGTTCCCTTAGACAATGCAAAAATCAACTATGCCATTTCACGCCAAATTAACAGACGTCAAACCTTACTAACTATTATACTCAACGGTCTCAACCACGAGGCTCTCGACGGGAATAAATATGCAGTAAGAAAACGATCGTTCATAGTTATCTACCCATAATTTGAGCCCATAAAACAAAAGCTTATTTCAATAGTCTAATAGCCTTTTTTAGTCGTAAAGACTCAGTTTTACTCGAGTAAAGTTAGTTTTACGGGACTTACGAGTAAAGTCAAATTGGGTCTTTATCAGGGGCGGATTTAGGTGGGGGGGGGGGGGGGCGGGTATGCGGACGCCTCTCCTCTCAGGGATTCGACCCCCTGCCGACCCAAAGGGTCCCCCCATTGATACTTTTTCAGAAATCCATTTTTGGCCGACCGACCCTAAAATTTTTCTAAAGGCGCCTTAGGCGCCAATATATACTAACTTTGAGGGGGAGCGCGCGCCAAAAAAAATGCGATTTTTTGTCAAAATTTCTCAAAAAGTACCCAAAAAGGGCTTTTTTGACTGTTTTTTCAAAAACTTGCCTGCGGCGCAGAAAATTTAGCCAAAATAGGGGCAAAACAGTGCTTTGGGAGAGCTCGAAGAATCAATTTGGTCGACCTAAAAAAAAAAGGCGTCAAAATTTTCGATTTTTTTTGAAAATCCGCCCCCCTCTCGAGAAAATCCTAGATCCGCCCCCTGGTCTTTATAGTAATTTGGGAGAGCTCTGAAAAACAATTTCGTCGATCTAAAAAAATGAGGCCAAAATTGAGGCCAAATTATTTTTTGAAATCTCCTTCTCGAGAAAATACCAGATCCATCCCTGTCTGGCATGTTATGACATTTTATTATGACAAAAACATCAACTGTTAAAATTTGAGCTTTGTTTTGAACTTACATCCATCAAAAAGTTTTAAATAAACTAATCGGATGGTAACTAAATACTACTAAACCATCATAAAAAAGAACTTACAAAATTTTTTAAGAAAAAATAGCAATTTGTGAATTCAGGAGCGTCCCCGACCAGCATTCTACGGACAGTGCACAGAGTATCAGAAGAACCCGGTGACGGGGAAGCCAGAGCCGTTCTTCCCCCGTAAGGAACAGCGAAAAAGGAAGGTGGTCACGACTGGAGCACTACTCATTGCGGTAATTGCAACTAAAATAAACAACGAAATCTTAATAATTTAAAAATCTTGAGTTTTGAATTTCATAATCCCTCTTTTTGATTATTTTTTTTTAAAATTAACTTGATATTCATGTAGTGTCAAAGTATTAAATGATAAAAGTATTCATGTTAGGTTACAATTTGACAAGAAAGCGATTTGGTGCTCTTTCGAATGGAAAGCTATGATGTCTAATACATCTTTTGTAATGCGCATAGCTCGAAAACTCTTTTTTATACCAGATCGGAGTATTACTTCAAAACTTAAAATGCATCGAATGAACTCTATGATTCAATCATAGTAGTGAAATCGGAAATAAAGTCTTTAAAAAATTTTGTTCCAACTATCGAAGAAAAAGCGGAACTTTTATGTTTGGGTGGGTTTCTTTCATTCAGTCAATTTTTGACCTTTTAACTCAAAGTTTTTGACAAACTTCTTAAAAGCATTAAAAAAAAATGTTGTCTGGAGCTCGAGTGTAAATACTTTTAACTGTAAACTTTTTTGTAAACTTATGGTGTTTAAAAATTTTAATTTGGCCAAATTGGAATTAACAATATATTGCGTTCTTATAACACGCGTACGCGGCAGATTAATGAGTTGCGAAATGAATTGATGCCAGTCGTTTGGTTTTGTTATTAGGTTAGAATATTTGCTCACTTGGGGATCAATTTCGGGCTTTTCCTGCTCTCCTACATAAACCTTACAATTCGATCGCCCTGAAACGAATTTATTCATACTGCTCATTTTTGTTCCGACTTTCGTAAAGAAAGTAACGGAACTTTTTTGCTCGGGGTGGGGTTTTTTTCTTCAGACAAATTTCGACTTTTTATCTAGCCATTTTTGACGGAAATTTTTAAATATCATTCGATAGGTATTGCTATCTTGAGCTTAAATTTTAAAAGATAGTTCAACTGTGATTATTTTTCGTAAAGTTAACGGGGTTTAAATATTTCCAATTTGGCCAATTTGGGACAATTAGCGCGCGCTATATTTCGCGCTATTAACGCGTAATCAGAGATTTAATTCGTCTTAGAAATTGTTTCAAGTTAGTTGAAGGAAGCTTATTTGCCATAAATGATTTGTTGCTTGGAGCGAAATCTATCACTTTGTACTTTATATGGCGCGTGAGGATGAGTTTCAAAAAAGATATCAAATTTTAACTTTTCAATTTATTTTATTGCATTTAATTTTTTCATGTTATCTTTTGCTGCATAAACCTTAAATGTCAGTCGAGTCGGAACATTCAGGGCTTCGTCTTGATACGAGCAGTCTTGTTTACTTTAATGCTGCAAATTTGATGCAAACTATTTAGGCGTGGCGAAATATTCACCACTAAAAAAGTATTCCAAATTGATTTGAGCTTATTGCTTTTAATATTTCATATAAGGCTAAACTTTCAACATTTAAAAATTGATATTATTGTTCAGACTTTCGATAGGAAAGTAACGGAATATTTGTGTTCGTGGTGGGTTTTTTTTTCTTCAGACAAATTTCGACTTTTTAACTAGCCATTTTTGACGGAATTTTTTTTATCATTCAGAAGGTATTGTTGACTTGAGCTTAAATTGAAAAAAATATTTTTTTTGTAAAGTTATGGGGGTTTAAAGATTGGCATTTTGGTCAATTTGGGACAATTAACGCGCGATATATTTCGCGCTATTAACGAGTAAGCGAAGATTTAATCCGTCTTAGAAATCGTTTAAAATTGGTTGAAGGAAGCTTATTTGCCATCATTGAATTGTTACTAGAAGCAAAATTTGTCACTTTGTACTTTAAATGGCGTGTGGGGGGATGATTTTCACAAAAAATTATCAAACTTTTTATCATTTTTTTTCGTTTTATTGTATTTTTCTTATACATTTTTTTCCACGTTATTACTGCTTCATAGACTTTAAAAGGCAGTCGGGACATTCAGGGCTTTGCCCTGATACGAACAGTCTTGTTGGCTCAAAAATTAAAGTTCAACAATAATTCATTTACCAAAACCTTTTCGTTTTCAGTTACGGGTAGTCTTCTTGTAGTTTAAATAAGCATGTGGGGATGAATTCGAGAAAAAAATTCCCTGAATCATCGCTAAAAATTGCATTAAACTGGAGTATTTTTGAAGCAGCAATACCTATCTGTGACAGATCAACCCGGGTTTTAATGCAGTTTGCAGTGAGCGTCCGGTTTGCCTAAGCAACCTTGTGATTGCTGGGTATGCATCACTACCACTACACCACAACGCCACTTAAGACAAGGTTAAGTTTCTGCTTGGTTTCAGATCTCTCTGATTTGTTTCGTGGTGTTTGTCGTGGTCATCACAAGAACAATTTGCGTGATCCTCATCCACCGCCTGGAGAATGACTACATTGCCCACTTCCGATCGGAGGAGTTGATGGCAAATATGATCGGAACAATCGTCCAATTGCTCGGCATGCTTGTGGTTACTACGGTATGGCCACAACACTTGGTCTTTTCAGTCCGAGTTAAGAGGGAAATTGGATTAAAAGCTTTTGCAAACTCACAACTGTTTCCGATGTTAAAATTTCAGCATTTTTATTGTGGCAGCTTTGATCCAACAAAGATTTTTGATTTTATCTCGACGACAAACAAAAAAATTCTTGATAACGAAAACCAATTTTTGATTTTTTCATTCCTGGTAGCGATTGAACGGTTGCTTTATTGTAACACCAAAAATTCAGCAATAAACAAACAAAAACATTGACCTGAGTGAAATGAGTTTTGGGGTGTCATTCTCACAAGTGTTCTGTTTGTGTAGATGTGGAGGAAACTGGCAGTCCCTCTGACAGAGTGGGAGGCGAACAGGACCCAGACTGAGTTCGAGTCCTCGCTGGCCATGAAGATCAGTGTGATCGCATTCCTGGAACTCTACTTGCCCATCCTGTACATCGCATTTGTCAAAGGAAAGTGAGTACTAAGCAGTCACCACCTGGTAACTTATAGGTGGCTATTATACTATGCTGACATTTTGAACCAACTTAAACTTGATTTTGCATGTTTTATGCGTTATTAAAGGTGCCATAATCAACTCATTCAAGCATTCAAGGGGTAAAACAAACATACGCACCTTGAAGAAAGTTGTAAAAGCTATTTGAATTTTTACACCAAAATCGAAGCCAATTCTATTTTTGACCCCTATGATATTCTGTTCTTCCTTCTCCAGGGGCGTGGGTGGTCCTGGGTTCTACATGCGGGTGTTCGGAGTGAGACTGGAAAAGTGTCCCAATAGCGACTGTCTCTGGGAGATGGCAACTCAACTCATCGTCTTCTTCGCCTGCAAACAATGGCTGCAGAACATCAAGGAGATCGCCGTCCCGTCTGTGTTTTTATTATAGGAACAATAGTGTCCACGTGAAAGTTCTAGACGCAAAAAAAGCTACCTTGAGTAGTAAAAAACCTTCGCTCAACAAAATAACTCAGTCTGGAATGTGGGGAATTAATAGAACGTACTATGCTTAGACAGGCTGCAAAGCTTTTTTCATAAACCCTCTGCTCTGCGAATTGCAGAAAACACAATAATATGCAACCACGTAGTGCAAAATATAATTGGGAATATTTATGACTCATTTAATGCGAATTATTTTGTTTTTTAAAAAAGTTATAGGTCTAGTAGTGTTAAAAGGTTGTCTAGTTGGATCGGTCTATGATCTCTTTTTCCCTTGAATCAGGTACTGTGCGCAAATGATTTTTTTTTCTTCAAAATAAGCGATTTTTTTTTTCAAAATGACTAATGAACCATTTGTAACTTTTTATAGACTGATCAAAATCTACATCTACAAATTCTCGAAGCAGAAAAATAAAGAAAACAAAAGCGAGAAAATAGAGCGCAAGAAACATGACATGAGGGAGCAGATCAAGCTCGAGATCATGACTGAGTCGAATCCAAAGCCGACAGACAACGAGACTCCTGCAGAGGCAGCCCAAAACGAGACTCCTGCAAAGGTGACACAGCACGAGAAACAAGTAGAGGTGGATCAGAACGAGACTCCTGCAGAAACGAACGGAAACGATACTCCTGAGGAGGCGGATGAAACCATCATCCAAGGTAACCCACCTATCAGTCTAATAAAGCTTGTAACTAGAAATTACAGAACTGAGTGAACTATAAACTCCAGATTACTAATGGCCGAGGCTCCAAATTTGCATAATCACAAGGAGTAAAACTCAGATCATATCACTCAAAGCTTTCTATCCATTATGTAGAATTGGGAACTCTACTGTTTATAGCCGTACTAAGTTTCAACGAAATCTAACTAGTGAAGTAGTAGGGCAAACAAATGACCAATCTCGTAATAGTTCGAATCCTAAAAAATTAGACCCAGCTCTGGCAGAACTTATAAAGGGTTATGAAATCGACAACCCCCCCCCCCATGGAAAGTAAGAATGCTAACTTTATGAAACTCATAGGGCGCATACAAGATGTAAGATTTAACCCGGGCATGCAAAAATCCGGACCCTTCGGACGCCCCTGGCCCAAGTGATAACGGTTCCCGGAAGTGCAAATTGCCCTATTAGAACTCAATACCGGTGGGAAGTGGACTAAATTTTAGTATATTATAGACCTAGTTGAGGGAGGCTTAAGCTTAGAACCTCAGAACGCTTGAACCCCTACTTCCGGTTTGATTTCCCTAATAAATAGACCCCAATCCCGACCTCCAGAAACCATTTCCCAGCCCGCAAAGGACACAAAGACTCAATTTTGAGATTTGATAGGCAGTGACAAGTACACCATGTGTTTGCTGTCCATTATCACACTTTACATCACACTTTGCTGTCCAATTTGCAGTGGAGGACAACCCCATTCACGAGAGTAGGGGCTACTTCAATCCGGATAACATTCAGGATTTGGATATTGACGTGGAGCAGGTGTTGTTGGAGGAGGACAAGACGAAGCCCATCTGGGAGAGGGACTATCAGTTGGCACTCAATCCAGGGGTGACGGCCGAGTATTTGGAACTGAGTAAGTTACATTCAGGGATGCTGATATGAACTAAGGCAGTCGACACCTTAAGTAGATTTACTGTAATTCTGTACTTGATGGTCATCTGCTACACTACTTTCTCGCTGAAAGAAATCCCTCAAAATGCTAGCTTACAAACCAAACTGCAATCAAATAACCAAAATGAATATTTTTCACGCATTTTAGTCCATATAATTTTTAAATTTCAATGCGGTGCTCCGTTAAAAGTTGGTACCGAATGGAACAATGCACATTATAAATCATGCGCATAGTGTTTGTGCCACGAATACAGAAAAAAATGAAGAAAAATATCCTATTTTGGCTTTTGTGTGTGCACTAGTGGTGCAGTTTGGCTTCATCACCATGTTCGCCTGTGCCTTCCCCATCGGACCCCTCCTGGCTCTGCTGAACAACATCCTCGAGATCAGAAGTGACGCCTGGAAGTTCACTGCCCTCCTCAGACGCCCAGTGGCAGAGAGAGCCAAGAACATAGGCAAGTAGTCAAACGAGTGTTTCGACCCTCTCACCACCCTTTACTACTATTTTATGACACAAGAAATATATCCAAGTTTAAAACTATCCGAGAGCACCTTTGGGGCTAGCATCACTAACCTTAATGGGAGCGGTCGTGTCAAGAAAACGCAACTTTTGGCTCAAAACATTCCAAAAAATGTCCAATAAGAGATTTTCAGCATATTTTTTTCTTCAAAATTTCGCCCTCGGGTCGGAAATTTTATCAAAATAGATTCTTCATCGTGCTAGAAGTGACGTAAAAAAATCAATATGTTAACTTTTTAGATAAACCCATTACGAGGCCAGACTGTGCCTGGATTGGCGCACAATTTGGTGTATGAGACAAGTCTTTAAAAGTGTTCCATAATGTAAGTGGATTCCACTTACAAAAATTCCGCGAGTGTAATGGATATGGTGTAATGAATATAAATCAGTTTATGGATTCCACAAACTGTTTTGGATTCCGCAATTTTTCTTGAGGAATCTGCAAATTTGCCTGTTTTCGAAGCGATCATTGTTTTAGCTATTTGCTCGCAGTCTCCTCCAAAACACCAAAAACATCAAAGAAAACTAGCATTTTTTCGGTTCCGCGACAAATCTGTTTTCAGCCTGTAGCGGAATCCACTTACAATTGACAAAAAACACAATTTGGCCTCGTAATGCCACATTTTGGACAAAAAAATCAGAGCAAATCCAAAGGTAAAATCTAGAGCAAATCTAAATAGGACAATCGTAGATTACAGTACCCATTTGCTTTCAGGAATCTGGTTCGAAATGCTCTTCGTGCTTTCGCGGTTGTGCGTCATCACAAACGTGAGTATACGTCATAATACAGTCGCCAATTTGCATCCTAGTCTTTTTTTGCACCCACACTACATGAACTAAATTCTGTGAAATTTTTTTTTTTTCAAAAAAAATTGTTTATGTAGTGTGGGTGCAAAAAAAGACTAGCTAATTTCATAAAAATTTCACACATCATGCCACTTTTCATTACAATCGTACAATGCTAAAAATATTTTTTTGAGACGCATTTAAAATTGCATTATATGGAGTTCCATTTTTTGCGGCTTTCTTGCATTGTGCTCATATTGCAGGCCTATTTGATCTGCTTTACCTCACACTACCTGGACAGACATCTGTACTCTTACATACACGGGCATCAAGGAAGTCTGGACGGGTACTATGATTTCCTGGTCATACCGGCACCCCAATCATACCTGGAATCACACGAACCGTGCAAGTGAGTTGACCTACAATTAAGTATCAAAATAACCGAAAAAAGGACGAATGCCAAAAAGCACCACCAAATGAATGTTTCTTTAATTAAAACAGTAGTCATGTTGTCTTATCTTACTTATTTCATTCAAAACGTAGACAAATTTGATAGTCAAAAATGCAGTTTTAAACGTAGACAAAAATGCAATTTCTAACTGAAAGGATAAACATCTCCATTTAATAAACGGCAACCAACGTATCTTTATCGAATTTTAATTTCACACCCAGCGACATCAGGCTCGATTAAATTTCAACGGATTAGTTTTGCTTACCACCTTTCCATGACACTTTTCAGGCCTTTTAACGTCAGAAATTCTTTGAGCGACTGCAGGGGCGGATCTAGGATTTTCTCGATGGGGCAGATTTTCAAAAATATTTTGAAAACTTTGTCGACCTTTTCTTTTTTAAATCAACCAAATTGATTCTCCGAGCTCTCCCAGAGCACTAAAAGAGCCTGTTTTGGCCAAAATTTCTGCGTTGCAGGCGTATTTAGGAATTTTGGAAAATTTTGACCAAAAAGTCCCGAAGGCGCCTTTAGAAAAGTTTTAGTCTCCGTCGCCAAAAATGGATATCTGAAGATAGTACAAAGGGAGAGAAGGGGGTCGAATCCCTGCGAGGCGGGTAGGGGGTCGAATCCCTGAGAAAAGGGGCGTCCGAACCCCCTCCCCCCCCCCCCCCCCCCCCCCCAAATCCGCCCCTGAGCGACTGGATGATTAGACTAAAATCATTGAGGTTTTGTGATATCCGTGTGGTTTTAGCTATGAGGGTTACTACGACGAGCATGGCCACAGGACTGACTACTTCTGGAAATTGATGGCCATGAAACTCATATGCATGATCATATTTGAGGTAAATCTCAATATAAATGTAGAAACTACTCATTCCAAAGACAATAAACATAGTACTTGTAGATTGAGAGAGACCCAAACAAATTAAGCTGTTAGGTAAAATTAGTATTTTTCAGACAGCTTTTCAAAGTTTAGGATCTAATGGCGGATCTAGATTTTTCTGAGGGCATTTCTATCTAAAAAATGTTCTAAAAATTTTAACGACTCTTTCTGCTTGACTTTTTGAGCTGGAGTTAAGGGGGATCGAGAGGGATTCGATCCCCTGACCGCACAAAAAGTCCTGTTTTGGTACTATTTTGGGACATCCGCCTGAAATACTACTTGAAGAAGTCAAATATTTTTAATGCTCCCTGTATTCAAAACTTCTGGTTGAATATACAAGCAGTGTGCTTACACGTTGATAAGTTTTATCTTCTTCAGCATAAAATCTTCTTGGTGGGAATAGTACTGGAGGCAGTGATTCCAGACATTTCCGAGGATGTGGAGCTGCAGATGAAGAGAGAGGACTTCCTGGAGCGGGAAATATTCGGAACCGAGAACCCAGACGTACAAAAAATGGACTCAACTGCTTCCTTGTACAAGGTGAAAAACAACTACTTTCGTCATCTACTTAATTAACTATGAAATTTCAGCTTTTTACCTCACAATAACGACTAGAAAATTCTGATCTCCTTTCTACATGTGCCAATCAGCGCTAGTTTTCTCGTTTATAATAACAGTAGTTTTTTAACTTAAAAGTATACCCTTTTTTGACTCTATTTCAAAAAATTGAAGCAACAAGTTTAAACAACTGATCTGGGCAAACGCACAGTTTTTTATTTATTTGCACTAACAGAAACACTATTTATTTGCATTAACAAAACACTAAATAAATGTTTCGAACTTAAGGAATTTTTTTCGCATATATTATCACAGAAACTATTGGTGTTGCTGTTTAAATCAAACTTGGCTCTTCAAGGCAAATACTAACTTCTGATGAATTTTGAAACTGTGCTTCTTAAAATTTTTGAAAGCTTGAATTTTTTAAAGTTTTTTCTTCTTGCAAACAAACTAAAAACCATTCCGGTTGGTAATGAATAATTTCCAATAACTCCTCACAAATGCAAACCCTCTGAAAAGGCAAACTTTAAACACTAAAATGAGATAATTACTAAAAACGGATTGCAGTTTAATAATAAAAAAACAGTTATGTGGATGTCCTGCTATCTTTCTAAAAGAACAAAGCCATTTTTTTCCGGGTGTTACAGGCTGTTTTCAGGTGCCATTGGAGAGCAATTTGGAAGGATCCAACGTGAACTTTTGCTTCTATCCGATTGCAACGTAAAATTTGTTGAAAAAAATGGCGCAGATTGAAATCATAAAAAACTGACAAGGAAGTTTTTTAAGATTTAGAAGCTATAAGGCAACCAAGTTGCATATAACACAATCAAGTTTTGGCTCTCGAAATCCGCTGTACGTCTGTTTCTGCTGACAAATTCTATTGTAGTTGCACCTGTTTTGTGAACCTTTGAAAATCTAGAAACACTCCGCCTGTTAACTCTCTTGAGAAGGCAGCCGGTCCCAAGCCCGGATAAAGGAGGAGGGTTGGGGCGTGGCGAGCCCTGTAAAACCAGCCAAGAACCCACATTATGAAAGTCCCAAAATGTATTCCGAATACTGCTACGCCCCCCGCGGGAACTGGGGCCACCATGAATGCCGTCATGGTGGAAAATGCTAATCCGGCACAAAAACCGCTCCAACATACCAAACACCATATCAACATCTGCACCTGGAATGTTCTGACGCTCCTACAGCCAGGATCTCTCGAGCTCCTGGATAAATCCCTTGAAAACCATGGAGTTCACATTGCCTGCCTTCAGGAAACTAGAATTTCCGGAGACAACACGCATAACACCAAAAACTACAAAGTATACACCAGTGGGTATGACGACAACCGAGGCATCCACGGAGTTGGTATCGCAATCGACAAGAAACTCAGCAGCTCCGTGCAATCATGGAAAGCAACCAGCCCCAGAGTTTGCTCCGCCCGCATCTTTGCTAAACCCTACCCATTATCCATTATATGTGGATATGCGCCGACTGAGGACGCAGAAGCTCTCGACAAAGATGAGTTTTACCGAACACTACAAAAGACTCTTGAAGAATGCCCCAACGGTGATGTAATTATTTTAGCGGGAGATCTAAATGCCAGCCTAGGACAGGCATACCCCGCGGAACAACAACACATAGGTCGTTTCATAAAAACATCGAAACGAAACGACAATGGAGAACGCCTCGCTATGTTTGCAGCTACGAACGACCTGGCAATTGCAAACACGATGTACCAGAAGAAGAACCACCAGCTATATACCTGGATATCACGCGACAGACGAACCCGGAACCAGATAGACTTCATCCTGATCAAGAGGAGATGGCGCACAGCGATCAACGATATCAGAGCAAGAAGTGACAAGATTTGGATCGACAGCGACCATAGAATGGTGAAATGCAATCTGAAGACGAAACTTCGTACATATGTCAAAACCCATAGAACAGTTAGACTCAACCTCGATGCGCTCCAACATACAGGTACTTCCAGGAAATACTGTACGGCCCTTTGTCCAGTAACCGAATCTACCAGCAACGTGAACCAGAAATGGGAAATCCTAAGAGACAGTATGATATCATCGGCGAAAAAGAATCTGGGAATCTCGTGCACCGTAAGGAAACCTTGGATATCTGATGAAACCCTCAAAGCCATCAGAACACGCGAAAACCTCAAGGCTAAGGGCGCTGAACTCTCGAAAATAGCTGCGCAACGAAAGCTGGTGAAAAAACTCATCCGAAAAGACAAGAACTGCTACCTCGACATGAAATCGGATCAAATTGAGGACGCCAATGAAAGAGGACACACTAGAGAGATGTACCGCCTCATTCGGACTTTGAGTGGTGCCAAATCGAGTAGTTCACAAACAGTCAAAGGTCTCGATGGCCAACAAATCAGCGATAGCAAGGAAGTCATGCAACGATGGGCAACTCACTTCTGCCAACTTCTGAATGCTGACAACAGCCCGGCCCAACTGCCCAAGGTCGTCTCGAGTACTGGAGTCTTTACGGATATAGATCAGGGAGAGCCGCTAAGAAGTGAGATTGAGGTTGCACTAGCAAGCCTCCATAACCACAGAGCTGGCGGGTGCGACCACATCCCACCCGAACTGTTCAAAAAAGGAGGTGAGAGAATAGTACTTCTTCTGAAAGACCTCTTCAAAAATATATGGAGAGAAGAGGCAGTCCCAGATGAATGGCGAACGTCAATACTCCTGCCGTTTCATAAAAAAGGTGACAAACTAGTGTGCAGCAACTATAGAGGAATATCTCTGCTCTGCATTGGTTTAAAAATCCTGGAAGCTATACTCCTCGCACGTTTTGACGACCTCTACGACTCATATGCGAGAGATAATCAAGCCGGCTTTAAGAAGGGAAGAGGTTGTAGAGATCAAGTTTTCGCCCTACGACAGATAATCGAGCAGCGAAGTGAGTACAATAGACCCACAGTGATGGTCTTCATAGATTTCAAAGCTGCCTTTGACAGCGTCAAGAGAGATGCCATATGGAAGATCCTGGAAGATCACGGAATGCCAGACAAGCTGCTTAGGATTCTCAGGAACATGTATTCACAGTCCAACAGCATCGTGCGAAGAAATGACAACCTATCAGAGGCGTTCCACGTGGAAACAGGAGTCCGCCAGGGTGGGGTCCTGTCACCCTTCCTGTTCAACATCCTCATTGATCGGATCCTGAACGTCGCCACAGATAACACGAATCTAGGTATCCGGCTAGAAACCAGTATTACTGACCTGGACTATGCAGATGACATTTGCCTGCTAGAGGACAATCCAGATGACGCCCAGAACTTACTGAATCGAGTAGTTGACGCCGCAAAATTGGTAGGACTCCAACTGAACGAGTCCAAGACTAAGTGCATGTTCTCCTGTTGCGAGCCAACGGTGCTATTTTGTAATGGTGTTAAGCTAGAAAACGTCACTGAGTTCGACTACCTAGGAAGCCGCATCACCTGTAACGGAGACATTACCCCAGAAGTTCAGCACAGAATAGCCAGCGCGACTAGAAATGCTGCGCAGCTGAAGAAATTCTGGAGTAACAGAAACATAACCACCAGGACCAAAAGCAAAGTGTACAAAGCATGCGTAAGAAGTGCTCTCCTATACGGCGCAGAAACATGGCCGGTTAAGAAAGGGGACCTGGCCAGGTTGTCCTCATTCGAAACTAGGTGTGCACGGCGATTTGTCTACAATGGATTCGAAATAGCTACCCAGGAACTGCTTCGCAAAGCACAACTTGACTCACCTATGGACTATGTGCTGAGGCGTATGCGACTGAAGTGGTGTGGACATGTGTTCAGAATGCCGGATGAGAGAGTGACGAAGGAGGCACTGTTCTTCGAGAAGGCGCCCACTTGGAAAAGACCAAGAGGTGGGGTCAGAAGAACATGGAGATCAACAGTCGCGGCTGACCTCGAACGTGTTCTGAAACCACCGAACATGAGGGCAGACAAGTGGAGATTGTGCTGGAAAGATGCCTGCATGGAGGCAGCCCTGGACAGAAAGCGATGGCGTGCGATAGTTCGGGACTCAATATGTGGCTGACAATGGGCAGTAGTGCCTTAGTCATGATGATGATGATGATGATAACACAATCAAGTTTTGGCTCTCGAAATCCGCTGTACGTCTGTTTCTGCTGACAAATTCTATTGTAGTTGCACCTGTTTTGTGAACCTTTGAAAATCTAGAAACACTTTGTCGTGCGTATAAGCACAGTGTTCAGTAACAGCACACTTGCTTTGCAAGAGTGAACTTTTTGCATTGCAAGTTACACTTGTTTTTCAAAAATAGGTATGAAATGAGAGAATATGTTCTAAAGAAACCGACAAAAAAGATTGTCTTAAAACTTTTTTGAACTCTTCTAACCAAGTTTTTTCTGCTTGATTTCCACAGCGCAACGGGATTGCAGAGCGCAACTAGTCTTTCATACAGCAAATGACTTGAGAAGAGCTTTTCCCTTTTTCTTTTTCCCACCTCACGTGAGAAGAAGTTTTATGGTGCAATGAGTAGTTTCACAAAGTTATTAGCCGCATTCTAATTTTTATAACAAAGGGCAATTTTTACAAAAAAAGTTTCTTTTTTTTGACCAAAACATAAATTGCGCGTAAAATAAATTTGAGACGATTTTATATAGAAAACACAAAGACGACCTTAGAAAGGGAAATTCATTTGTTAATTGACAAAAACGATGCATGCCATTTTAGCTCAGTACATAGACAGTTTGTTTTATGTCGTTTCCAGGACAAGGTACGGAAGACCAGCACCAAGACGAAATGAGGCGGAAAACTTACTGTTTCATCAAATAATTTTCGAGCTAAATCTATGTGCAATCTCATCACATTAATTGGACTGTTTTATTTTGGTCAAGGGTTTTTTGATTTCTATTCAATTCAAAATAAATTTTCATCGTGAAACTTGAGCTGTTTTTGTTTAATAGAAAGTGAAGTTTGAGATCCACCGACTGAAAACATCAGTTTGAAAGAAGAGCTTTGAAAAGGAACTCCCAAAAAATATATAGAAAACAACCAAAGCAGTTTTTGATTTTTTAAACGGCAACAAATTTTGTAATTTAAATACAGCTCATTTTGTATATAGTGCTCAGTTCTGCAGCATTTTAAATCAAAAAACGATTTAGTTTTAAAAAAAACTAACCCAAATAATCAGCCAATCTAGTATGATAAGCTACATTAAATGCAAGTGGCTGCCATATATTTTTTTACAAAAACAAAGTTTGCAATATTTCTTAAAGCTGAACATGATGATGACTTTAAAACGCTTTGCGAGGTATGACGTGATTTTATGTCCAATCTACCGCGACTGAGTTTAGTGATATCTAGAAGTTCGCGATCAAAATCAAGTTTGTCGAAAAAATCGTCACATAAAATAAAAAATATTCAAAAATAGTCCAAAAAATGGTCGCAATAAAGTTTGATATTTAATCGAGAGAGTGTGGATGTTAGTTCGATGAAATCTTTTTTCTTTCTGATAGTCCATAAATGGTCGAAAAAATTTGAATATGGGTTGGCAAAATCTGAAAAAAACTATATTCATAGTCGCGGTATAGTTTAAAGATTGATGACCAGAATGTGCAGTTATTCAAAAAAAATTTCTGAAAAATGTTCCTGATAATCTGAAAAACATTTCACAATATAATACGGAAATTACTGGCGATTTTCTGGAAAAAAGTCATACCATCATAAGAAAAATTGCCACGATAAGACAAATTCTAATGTCAAACATACAAAAAGTTGTCAAACAAAAATTGGAAGAACAAGCGTTTTAAAAGCACGGTGTTAAGCCTGCAAACGAAAACACGAATAAAAAAATTATACAAATATCTTATCATTGCGGTAAAATGCATAGAACAACAAAATTGTGCAATTACTAAATTTTGTAAATAAGACTGACTATAATCACAACTGTAATAAAGAATCAAGCAATAAAAAAATTAACAACTTAAACTTCTTGAATTTGTAATACGCATCAGTATCCGCACCGAGCGCTCATGGGTTCTAATCGAATATAGTGGATTCCCGAGACAAAAATAAACCATTATAATCCATTAAAGATGTAAAATTTAGACCACGAAATTGATTTTATTAAACGGGGGGAGGGGGGGGGGTTCTACCATTAAATAATCCCCCTAACACCGTTCAAACCATAATTTAGAAACATATAAACTTTAATGTGAGACAAAAAGTATAAAAATTTTTATGTGAAACGGAACATTTTATGAAACGTAATGCGTAGCAACTGCATTAAACAGGAAAAGAGATAAATTTGAAAAAAGTTGTAAATTTCACATATAACTTCTCGAAACAATTCATTATAATCGATTGTGTTAGATTATTATGGATTAATTTGGCTTTATTATTTGTTTTTATTTTATATTATTAGACTAAAATCAATTAATTTGTAATTTTATAGATGTTGACCATGCTATGAGAATATAATCCATTATGATTTAACGTATTTGAAGACTTGTCTCTGGAATCCAGCAACATATAGACACAAAATTGTGCGCCTATCCAGTGCACAGTTTGGCCTCGTGATGAAGTATATTTGCAACCAAAGCGACCAAACAAATGTGGAGCATAAACTTAACAATTTCTGTACAAAAACTGATAGTTTTTGTTCAGTTTACAAATTTTTGTGAGAGAATTGTTTTTTTAATCGTTTTTAAATGATCTCACTTTTTTTCGAGACAAAAACCTGCATTCTTCAAATTGATAACAGTTTCTCAAAAATAAGAATCTCAGACTCAAGTGACTCAGACAAAAAATCAAAAGTCCGATGGGGCATGTAATTTTTCACCTAAGGGCAATTCTTTCCTGGGTAAAACAAATGGTATAGCAACTCATTTTTTACTAACTGTTTAAAAAAGTTCTAGAATCCAAATCTTTCTCATTCCAATTTCTCGAAAATAGAAAAAACTGCGCCAGAAATGCTCCAAAATTTTTGCGTTAAATAAATAAATGAACAATAAATTTTCAATTTAGGTGTCTATTTAGGTCTTCAGCTTTTAGGTGTCAATTTTATGTAATTAAATAAAAACTTTGTAAAAAAAGTAAACCCTTTTGACAAAAAATCTGCCCAAGTTAAACCATGAAACGTTGAAAAAATTTCGTAGTTTGAAAGATAAATATTTTGACCAATAAGATAAAAGCTGAGTTTCAAGGACTAAGGAATTGCATCTGCAACGGTGCGACCAAAAAAAATACCGCGTCCAGCGCAACCAAAAAAAAAACTATCAGCGCCAGTAGGACTTGATCCTGTTAAAAAATTGAATTATTTGTAGATTTCAGGCCATCCAATATTTGAAACCTTCACGAGTAAGTTTTTGCCTTACAAGCGGATGCGAAACTTCTTTAGAATAAACAATAATTTTTTTTAAAATAGTATCCTAATTTCAATCATTTTTAGATGATCTTGTTTTTTCCGTAACAAAAAAAACAATTTTTCAAACTAATAACGTTTTCTCAAAAATGGAAATTTTAGACTCAAGTGATTCAGACAAAAACTTCAATAGTCACATGCCGCTGGCAAATTTTTCATTACTAAAACTCATTAAGGACATTTCCTTACTGAGCAAAACAGTTTAGTCATGTGCTCAAATTTGAGTAAATAAAAATCAAACTTCTAGAAATGTAGAAAATGAGCCAGATATGCTCAAAAACGTTTGCGGGACATAAGTATATGTATAATATCTCTTGTTTTGAAAATGTAAAATTTTCAAATGGCTCATTTTTGTTTTTAAACACAGAAACGAAGCAGAGCTTCGCATCCCTTGAGATACCACAACAATAGCATTGCAAGCTAGCAGACAGGAAAAAAAGAGAATTTTTACATCCACAAAAAAACGGAAAACCTTTCGAAAAACCACAACTAAAAGACTTCAAAATGTTGTCTGAAATGATGTTCTGTTTATCGAAAATTCAAAAACAATTATTGAGTGAAAGTGAAATTGTTGTCATGAAAAACATTCTCCGATTAACAGAGAACCGCCAAAATTTGGGCAAACATCCGTTGTGCAAATAACAACAAACTAATGTCATGAAAAAAATGAGATATGAAAATCTGAAAATCTTAACTTTGACGTCATAATTGAAACATAATTCCAAATTATTTAGGTCGAATGAGTTTTTGCTCGAAAAAAAATTCTATAAAGTTAAAACAAGTAAGCTCGCAATTTATACACAAAAGCAAAGCTGAGCTTCGCAAAACTTGGGAGTCAAAACTGAATGAATCTGATTGAAATTAATGAAAAATAATTTAAAAAAACTTCAAAAACCGTTTTTGTCAAAAAACATGCAAAAAGCCCAAAATATCCTGAACAAATTTGCCTGCACTATTAAAAGTTTTACAAAAAGCTTTTCAAACTCATTATTTGGACTATTTCAGCAAAAATAGCAGAAAGAAAAATCTTAAATAGCTGAAAGTATTCAATTTGCACAGAAACATGTCCCGACTGGAACCGAACTCGTGGGCTCTGTTGTCTTACGCATGGGCGTTACATCAACTTGGAAGAAAGCTGAAACTTCAAAAAATTGGGCTACGCGAATCGAGTCGACAACAATAGGCAGACCGATGATAGCGCGAAAAATTAAAAAAAACCAAGTTTGCACATAATAGGTTCCGGTCGGATTCGAAAGACAAACATTTGTCTTCTCAAGCTAGAGTGTTACTTTAAAGGTTTTTCTTTCCAAACTAAAAAGCTTAGCGTGTTTAAAGAAGCGTGCAAAATTCTTCTATGAAAAAGCCTTTCATTGTGTTACTTTTTTCGAAACGAGTTTATCAATCAATTTAAGGGAGTTTTCAAAAAAAACAACCGGCAAACAAGCCGACAAAAATTGAGCCTGAACCAATTAAACCTACAAAAATAAATTTTACATCTATTTTTTTTGCCATGAGATGCAGTAACGCATTATCTCTAGGCACCATAACTCGAGGTGCTAAACGTGCAACGTGCCGATAAAGGAGATCTTGAAATTGGAGATCATTCTCTGAACAAAGTTGTTTACGGGAAAAATGTTTAGTACCCGATTGCAACACCTTTGCTGATTACAAGGGTAAACACAAAACCAAAACTTTTTTCACATGCTTTGAAAAATATTTTCAGCACGGAAATTTCAGACAAATTAGACGACAATTTTTAGCCAGATATGTTTTGGGAGATGGAAGTTTTCAAGTTTGCAAAAAAACAAGTCCCGGCCTGGTTCGAATCTAGTACCTTAGTCGTCCCGGTTGTAATTGTTTAGAAGATTTCTGATCAATCAAAATTAAGCTGGCAAACGATAGGTGACCGTGTTAAACTCGCAGTAGCGATAGATTAAGGCATGTCACTCAAGAAGTATCGCAAAAAAATCGAACAAACCTACATTGAAAAAGCAAAAAAAAACAAAATCAGAAAATAATTTTTAAAAACTTGAATTATTTAAGTAGTATCAGAGGTTAGCAGAGTTTGATTTGAAACCTTCAAATTTTACGGTCTAATTCGACTCAAGTAACTGATACGACAGGATTATGATACAACATATTTTAGGTAAATAAGTCGACAACTATATTACGTAAATAAGCAGCGGTAACAAAAAAACTCATTACATCGTCTACACAGCAAACATACAACATCCCACCATAGGTGGCTCAGGGGTAGAGAAATTGAACAATTTTTTTGGTTGTTGTATCAACAGTGTTATTGAAGTTAAATGTCCAGTACCCGGTTGCAACACCCTTGCTTATCTCGCTACGGTGAAAAACGCAGACAATGTGCTAGAAGGTCGCGACAGCGATTCTCAAAGGAGAGCTGAAACGACCGCTTGTTCTTTTTTTCCTTTATGGAGGTCCATTGTTACGTCAGCAACTTTTCTGAGTCAAACACCAAGTTTTTTTATTAAGCCCCCAAGTTTGAAATAAAAGCGCCAGGCTTGCAAAAAAATTGCAAGATTTTGCAGAAAAGTGCAAGAAACAAAGAGGAACTTCGAATTTTTAGCGATATAATGCACACGCAGCACTGCAAGCTAGCGAATAGAAAATAAGACGGAAATAACCATTTCGAAAAAAAAAAACATATTAGAGGGATTGAAAAAAAAATCCGAAAAACAGTCAAAAAACGGAACCACTAGGATAAAAAAAGCTTAGAACCTACGCCGGCAGCAAGTGAGCAGACGTTTACTGATCCAAAAACAGAAAGATGTCATAAAAGTTTTGCGCAAGAACGTTTTCAATTTAAGAAAACTTGCAACAGAACCTAACTGCCTTTTTTTTCAAAAATCTGTCTTTTTTGCGGTTGAAGCAACGCAAAATAAAATAACTAAGCCAATGAAATTTAAGCTGAGACCGAATGAAAGTTTTAAGCCAAAAAGGAAGAAGCAATTCATTTTTCCCGGATAAAAGTTCAATTTAATTTATACAAAAAAAATGGTCCGGTCGTGACTCGAACTGAAGACCTTGGGTTACAAAGGCATCCGCGTTTCTTGTAAGCCCAATATATGGATCAAGCAACCACACCATTTCTAAAAAGTGTAAAAGATGTGTAAGGGAACATACTAGTTCCCATTTATAAAATTTGTTCAATTAAGTGTAAAACCTTGACAAAAGTTCAATTCTCTTGTCATTGCTATTATTCTAGCGGCGAAGCGAAGCTTCGAAACACTTGCCATGCGATACAACAAAAACATAGCATTATAAGATAGTGAAGACAAAGAGACGGGCGTCTCAAACTTTTTCGAAAAATTAGGTTGACAAAGTTGAAAACATCATTAAAATTTCACACCTTGATATTGGATGCTGTTCGTGAACAGCCTAAGAAAGCTTTACAGTTTAATTCTTCAAGCAACAAATAAGGCAACAAGAACTGCTTCGACAACTGTTAAGCCAAAAACAACTAATAGCACACATTTTCAAGCTAAAGATTTTTGACATTCTATTTTTAGACCCATCCTTCTAAAAACAACAGCAAACTAAAATATTTTGCCTTCGAAGCGACGCAAATGATAATCCTTAGACCCAAAAAAACTTAAATCAGAGGCTGTAACTTAGCAATTGATAAGTAAGAAAACGCGAAAATAAAATAATTTTCGATTTTTGAAGTTTTCGCCCAACTTCAAATTCCGAAAATTTTTTTATCAGGTACAGCTCTGAAATTCAAGACTTTTTTGAGTGACATTTCTTTGATTAAGTTAACACAATTTAGGGAAACTGGATCATAAGAAAACTTTCCTATTCCACTGGGAAAGTAACAACTGAAATCCAATTAGGTGAATTCGAATTGAAATCAAAAAGTGCACATACTTAAATGCAATTATAAGAACATTAATATGTATGAATGAACTTCTGTAGTTATTAGAGCATTAATCTTTTACAGAAAAAAGTCATCAAGACCTGTATCAGTTAAAATAACTTCGTATTTTTACACTTAATTACAAAACCACTCTCGACTATAGTAAAAACTGTTTAAATTAAAATCAAAACATGTATCGGAAACAAATCTGCCAAAAAGCCTACCCGACCTTTGTTTTTAACGTGGTAGGCTTTTAGGATTACGTTTCAAATGGCCTAAAAAAGAAAAGTTTCCCAATTTGCATGATTTTCATGCTACAGTTGCATTGAAAAAATCGAGAAAAGCTTTTTCGAGAACAATTTGAGAAAATTAGTCAAGTTGTCAATTCAAATGTTGATTGACATTTTATCTTGAAAATTTTTTACGATTCTTTTATCAAAAGCGAAAAGCATACGCTTGCGGTTATTGATAAGCTTCTTCTGGTCAATTTTTCGACAAATTTGTCACTTTGCATTTGTTTGGAAGCAATTAATTCCAAATCTTATCCACATGTTTTCATTCCTGACAAAATGTTAGATTCGAAATTGATATAAAACGTTTGAATTACAATGAAAAATTGAAATTTATGCCATTTGGGATAAGTTTCTTTTTGATGCCATATGGTAGTTATGTCATTTGGGAAACTACCGGCTTTTACCAAATTTGCTTCCAAAGCATGGTTTCGATTTTAATTAACAGAATTTTTACTATAATTGAAAGTCGTTGTAATAAAGTGTAAAAGAAGGAAGTGAAATAACTCGTGCGTAGGAACTTGAAAAAAAAACTATTTTTTCCGACTGAGACTGTTGCCCACTGAATGTAAATATTAGTAAATTCACAGAATATAAACATTATTCATCTAATTGCAGTTTAAAGTTCTTTCTGTGTGTTCAATCGACCACGAGTTTAATGACTATCGATAAAATTTGAGGTTATTTTGCTGTGTTTAAATTAAGCTCTGGCCGCCATCTTCGCAGGATTCGGGGGTAGCTCCGATAAAATTGCATCAACTACTTCGTTTGTCGTGTTTTGGCCTCCAATGTCAGCTGTTCGGATCTAAATATAAATTTTATGTTTGATTTTTTGTGGATTTTTGAAGAATACTTTTAAAAATAAAACTACAATTTCAACTCACATACTCGCCTCACATTGTTGAAAAAAGTTTCAATAACTTACTTTGCCATCGGCTACAACTTTGAAGATAGCTTTGTTGATCAATGTAGAATGATGCGGCAATCTGAAAACAAAATAGTTCAAAGATTCAAGTAGATCGGTGTGGATTTCAATACACCAGATTCTTTTCAATTTCACTTTATGAAATACAAATAGCCAAATTAGTGAGAAACATACTGCAGATGCTTCAGCATTTCTGCAGCTGCTCTCAAATAGGCTACTGGGTTAGCCACATTCTGTCCTGCCAGGCTCTTTCCACTGTTCCTGGTGGCAGTCTCGAACATCTTGTAGTAGTGACCTAGATTGTAGCTGGGAGTCAGTCCAGGTCCGCCAGTTAGACCACACAACATGGCTACGATCACCTAAAACATAGAAAATCAGAGAACTTTCAAAATGGGGTTTTGCGCTTTAGGTAGTTCCTCTTCAGTTTAGAAAACTAGATACGCTTAACCGTAAAATAAAGCTCAATTATTCAAGTTAAAAATAGCTTGCAAAACTAGATAAGTATGAAGCTGACCACACTTCCATTAACTTCTGTGATACATTTTCAGGATATTGCTGTTAGTTGCACACAGGTGGCGCGTCATGCGAGCTTAGCCCGAGTCTAAGGAAGATTGCTAATTCGGCCGACTGTAGCCACATGTAACTTGAGGTCAGTTCGGCCAGGTTTGAGGCAGTTAAAGAGGTGGAGGGTAGTATGGGGGGACGGACAGTGGGGACAGTTTGGGGGGACATTGGGGTCTATTCTATTAAGATAGGTATTTAACATAGAGGCGAAGCGTCCCCCATATAGCAAGAACGCGACAAAAAGCAGCTCTAAAAAGTGCAATATGAAAAAGTAGAAATAGGCCTCGAATTAGTTTAAGAATTGGGCTACTTCTGGAATTCGATCTGCTAACTATAGCTTTTGAGTCTCGCGCACTAACCACTCAGCCACGGACGCTTATTAAACCACAAACACTAGCCACAAACAAAGCACAGAACAGACGCTATGAAATTTCCACTGCTACAGACCGTAATTATATCATAAGTTAAATAAGTGAACACTTGTAATAAACACTATCATTTGCGAGTGAGGTTAGAAAAAAAAAAGTTTCATACTAATACACTAACGCTGGCAAGTGTAAAAAGGGGACGTATTGGATCTGAGCAGTGCTAACGTGCTCCTTGTTGAACCGGGTAGCAGTTCCTCAGCCGAGGAAATATATTATCAGTCGCTTTAATGTCATGTGTCTTTTTTGCCAGACACCATTGTTGATAATAAAAATCGGAATATCGAATAAATGAAAACTGAATTATATTAAACATTAACTTGGAAAAATTGAAATCCATTACGTTTCCGTATAGATTGGGCGTGAGCATGACATCGAATTGGTCCGGGCGGGATACCAGCTGCATGGCTGTGTTGTCCACTATCATAGCGTCGAACTCTATTTCCGGATATGATTTGGACACTTCTCGGCAGCACTCAAGGAACAGGCCGTCAGCTTGCTTCCTGTAAAAATGCATTTGGCTCTTTTCCACTAACCCCTTCAAACTTTTTTTAATTTTATAGTTATTTTACATGTAATTATGGCTAAAGGCGTTTTGTTACGATGTCAGGTATGAGGAGCAAATCTCTTCAAAATTCTTTGTTTTTCACTATGCCAAGTTTGATAGCATTATGACCATGTTAAACTAGTTTTAAAAGTCAAAAGTAAATTGAAACTCAGAGGTTGGGAAAATGGATAATAGCCTTGCTTTTGACAAAATCAATCTATGTTAGAATTGCTGATGTTGATGATGATAAAAGCTGTTTAATGTATTTAGTAGGATGATGACGTCATGATTTGAAATCTTCTGGGCTCTTGTAAAATTTTGCTCATGTAAAACTTCTGTGGGATGCTTTAAAAGGAAAGAAACATTTCAAAAAAACTCCTGGGATACACTTAAGGAAGCTTCAAAAACTAGTTTTTTGCTACCTTCAAAGTGGGCTAACACTAGCAACCAATAAAACAGCTACAGATGCTATTCAATTTCCGTTTCTATCACCAAAAGTGGGCCGATGCTATCACCAAATTGCCGATGCTATCAAATTTATTTGTGAGTTAAGTTGGCAAAAAAGTGACTACGTCATACGACAGTACGCTCGTTTCTGTTAACTTTTAAATATCGATGGAAGTCTGACTGAAAGGAATTTAATGTGATATGTCACTCAAACCCATCTGAAGCAGATTCGTTGCACCTGATTTTGCGTTAAAAAAATTTAAGCACCCCATCAAAAAGTTCCTCCTTTTTCGTGGCCACAGCAGCAAAAAAGTAACAAAATGTCAGCTCACATGATGTTTGCCTTGTGTATGGCGGTGATGCGGTGTCTGCCATGGGACTTGGCGTAGTCGAATGCGTACTTGGCGATGCGGGTGCACTTGTTCCTCGTGATCACTTTCAGACTCTCAACCACTCCCGGGACGTTCTGGTGCTCCAACATAGAGTACTCTCCTTCCGTGTTCTCACGGATCACAACAATGTCCACATTCTTGTGTCTACACATAAAATACACATCAGCTGTGCTTGTTTTTGAATATAACTTTGCTATCCAAATGCCCAACGTGATTTGCTACTTAACCGAATTGGCGGTGTGTAGAGCTACAGAATGGTTAGAAAAATAAAGATCGCGGATTTTTTTAAAGATCTTCGATGAAACATTAATCCAAATTGTGTGCCAGAGTTCTTTGCTTCACCTTGTGGGCACTCCCTGTATGGAGTGACATCTGGTCACACTTGCAAACAGATCCAGCCTCTCTCTGATGTAGTGGTTCTTGGAGAAGTAGCCCTCTCTGAATTTGTGTGTCTCTAAGTTACCCTTCAGTGCCACTCTGTTCCTCTTAATTGATTCCAGCACCATGTCCAGGTCTGCTGTCTCTATCTCATGGCCCACGTGCACTTCCTCGAACGTCACCGGGACTTGGAGGTGCCTGGAAACATCATCACTTATTCTACCATAATCAGTCAAGGTCAAGACACTTGCATGCTAGATCTGTCAGAAGAATGAGTGTAAAAGAGATATAATCCGGATTTTCCCATTGCTTCACAGTTAAAATTGAGCGACAGTTTTTACTTAAGAAATTGCGATAGGCATTATCAGATATTCTTATGCTTCCTACTATGAGTTTTCAGTAGCAAAACAACAGAAACGTAATGTAATGAATACATTTATGAAAATTATTCGAAAAAGCGGAGTGCGACATTTAGTACTGACTTGAAAATGGTCTTGACATGCTCCAGCATTTCTGGTCCTATTCCGTCGCCTGGTACAGCTGTTACTACGTGCTGACCTCCGTATATGGTGGGAGGGAGCTAGAACACAGCAAACCACTCGACCACATTCACTACGTCACTCTCATTCCCAGCAGTTTTAAAATTTACACTACAAAACCCACTCACACAAAATTTGATCAACTTTCTACTGACGAAACCTTAATTTAAGAAACAATTGTCTTCAAGTAAATTAGGTTTCTACAAGAGACAGGGGCATTTTGAATATTTTGCCGTCTTTAACCAACCAAATTGATTTTCCAAGCTCTCTCAGGATACTGAGAGACCCTATTTTGCCAAAAAATATAGCATAACAGATAGACCCTTTCAGTGGTGGGGTACAGAATTCCTGGGAGGGAACATCCGGCTATAAGCAAAGCGACTCAAAAAAACGATATCATTGAAGCAGTAAGATTTAAAAAAAAACGACAACACGAAATGCGAGAAATTGTTCAATTATGCGACAGGACAAAAAGCATTCAAAACAACACAAGAATTCAATTTTGAAATACAACTTAAATAATAATTTTGCTGCCAGTTTTTGGCGAAACATGCCATGCAAAATTTGAATCAGTGCAAAATTTTAAAATCAAGCATCTTTAAAATATTGCCTTTTAAAAGCGCCGCGTTGAAATGAAAAGCGCGTCAACTAAACGACAGACATACGCAATGCTTTTGAAAATACTAAGTGCACGACACCTAACGTTAACAGGTTATTAAGTGAACAGATTAATAAAACATGACCAGCTATTATTTATAGTATTTACATCTCTTTCCGGGTGAGCGTTCGCATACCACCAGGGCTGAAAAACAAAGTTAAAGAATCATCCATCTGAAGATCATAAACTGCAACAATCTAAATGGAATTGAAGTTCAAAATCAATTGCGGTCAAATCCCGGAAACGTTTAGCGTGGTTTAAGATCACTTTATTCTATTAAGAGCAGTAATAATTAATTAGCGAGATTAGTGACAGATGTGTAGAGTAAAAAGAAGCGCTCTCTTCTATCATTTATAGAACACTCGAAAATATTATAGCCATGAGCCTTCTGAAAAAACATATCAGTTAACGCTTTAAATTGAGATTAAAAGCGGGGGTCTCAAAAGAATTCAACGAATTTCAAAACTAACGTTTGTCTAGCAAAATCAATTAGCCAAAAAAAAGATTCCAGCTTCGAAAACTGTTCGACCGAGCTGCTTACCAATGTTTCGCTGCTCATAGCTCGCACGAAGTTCATCTTTGTCTTGACACGCTGAAACACAAACCAACTGTTGAAAATCAAATGACGTCCCGAACTGTTTCTTTTTTATCTTAACTTGAACATACTGATAAGATGTCGGGTCTGAGAAGCGCTCTGAGTTTACTGGAAGCCATTTTGAATCTGAAAAAAGCATCTCAAAGAAATGTAGAAATCAGAGTTACCTTTTATTACCTTTTCCGATCATTTGTTTCTATCAACGAAACAAACTTCTAAAGCTAAGCCTCCCGATGTTATGTATACCAGGTTCTTTTGAATTTGCAAAGCAAATGACAAACATGAAAACTGAATGTAATAAAAATAAAATTAATTTTTTGTTTATTTTGATATTTATTTTGTGAAAATCATCCCCCCACACGCCATATTAGGTACAAAGTGGTGAATTTCGCTCGTAGAACATATCAATTATGGCAAATTATCTGCCTTCAACCAATTTGGAACGATTTCTAAGACGGATTAAATCTCTGCTTACATCTGAAATACATCGCGCGTAATTTGTCCCAATTTGGGCGAAATGGCAACCTTCAAAGCCACATGCCTTTTTTTCAAATTTAAGCTCAGGACAACAATATCTTTTGAATGATATTTAAAAAATCCGCCAAAAATGGCTAGTTAAAAAGTCGAAATTAGTTTAAAAAAACCCAACCCGAGCACAAATACTCCGTTACTTTCGTTAAGAAAGTCGGAACAAAAACTTCTAGCAGTAGCTTAGAGATCCCAAATTCAGACGTGTTTATAAGAGCAGTTGAGCAGGCCACCTGATAGCCGCAGTGCACACTGATTGATTTCAAATGAAAGACGGGAAAAACCGGGTTGATTTAAAGTCACAAAGAGCCTTCCAACGCGTACATAACTTCTATCTTAATGCCATCTAATTCGCTGAATCAGTTAGAATTTCCGAAGTTTTAATCTCAAATAGATAAACTCAAATCGAAGACTTATTCATGAGTCAATAGTCATTTTCAAGACTTATTCATGCAAAAATAGTCATTTTCAAATTATTTTCGAGATAATTCAATTTCTCTATTTCTTCATGTTGACCATGGTTTACAGCACGCAGACTCCAGCGAGATAAATCGATTCCCTGAAAAAATAAATTTGAAAAAGAAGACTTACTTTACACACGAGCGAATATTCCTTATATTCCTTGTTAATTGATATATTCCTTATCAATTAACCAAGTAGTTTCAGTGTAATTTAGGGTTAGTTTAAATGAAACCCGAACTTTTCAAAAAATCAATCACTTTCCCCATTGAAGCGACACAAAATAACGTACATCAGTCGATAACACATAAACTGAAACCATTTAGGCCGAATTTAACTTTTAAGCGAAAAAAGGAAAACCAAGGAAAATATACAACGTCAGGGCTATTCATTTTACAAATTAAGGAGAAAATCTAAAACACTTGCATCTGCAATGAAAACTGCTGACAGCACAAAAAACTTCCCCGATGCATCAACTAAGCCAACAAAACACAAGCTGACAAACAAAAGACCGACAATTCAATTTTTCCCGGAACATTTTTTTTTTCAAATTCATACATAATGAAAAAAAACAAGGTCCGCCAGGGACTCGGACCTCAGCCATTGAGGTGCAAAGCCAACCGCGTTTCTTCTCGGCCAAGAGGGAAAGAGTCTCGAAGTTGCACAGGTTTACTAATAAAGCAACTTCAAACTTTCTCACAGATTTGTAAAACTGGTTTACGGTAACTAGTTCCCGATTACAAGACACTTGCTCTCGCAAGTGTAAAGATAATTCTATGCCGCTATGTTTTGGCGATGTTTTGTTCGTATCGGCGAGCTTAGCTTACGCAGTATCATGCCAGGTATTTTCCTGTGCATAACTGACATTTAGACTCAAAAATTACTTAAGGGCGCTAATAAATGTGGCATTCGTTATTCCACATCAACTTAGTCATCCATAGAGCTCAGTTCAGGCAAAAAATATTTGTGTCATTTTTAGTGGCTATTTCATTTATGTAGAAAGGGATCTAGTTTCCGATTGCAAGAAACATATTAAACACGAGTGCAATAAATTCTGGATTTCTACTTACTTGAACCGAAAGCGCTTCTTGAATAAATGAATTGCATTTTGTGTAAGATGAAACATTCACCAACACTTTTAAGGCCTAAAGACAACAAACAAAATCATATGAAACTTCGGAATCCATTAACAAAACTGTTAAAAAAAACTAACACTAAGACGCAACTCCGGATCCGAACTATTTTCGACAAGTTCAACACAGGGAATTACACAACTAGTAGCAACTTTACCCAAAAACTCTTCGTTCAGAGTTACATTAGAGTAAAACTTCAGCCCAGCTAGGACAACTTGGTTCTCCAGATTATTTGAGTTGTCCCAGAAAATTGTGGTAACTTTTACAAACGATGGCTAAAAACAAGGATAAACTCAAAGTTATCATCATACTATGACAATTTTAGAGAAAGTGAGGATTTGAGCTTACTGAAAAAAATGCAAGACTTTCCGGATAACAAACGATATTGCTCAGCAAATCAAAAGCCGCAGCAACATTTTCGCTGTCAACCTGATTCGACGCTTGTAACCCAACAATTGCATCAACTGCAAGATTTATTGAGCGGTGAACAAGAGCAGTGTCCTGTAATAAACAAATTCCATGACTATGAAAACCACAAAATCTGATTTATGGACTCAAAAAAATGAAGCTAAGACTATAACATTTTGAGCTTCTTTAAATCCGAAATATGACACCATGTTTCTTAGCCTTGTTTTTCTCGGTTTCGCTGACTCCTTGGAAAAGGGTGCCGTTTTTGCGAGCTGAAACAAGACATTATCAAACAAGTCAACTTTTTTGAACTATAGCAGCACGCATAAATATTTCATACTTTTATATGTCGTCTCCCCTTGCAGAAGTGCCACACAAGGATAAGTCCACTAATTCCACCGGCAAGAAATAATAATCTTCTGTGTTGCATTCCAAACTAGCAGCCAACAGTTCTGGAAATGAAGACGCATAAAAGAACACGGATAGCCGGTTACTGTGCAAGTACCACAGATGTTCCGACCACACTGATTAAGGAAGATTTGGGTAAAAAACGACAGCAAATTCGAAGTTTCGAAGGGAACAATCATGTCTTTGGATGTGAAACATCTGTACGCTTCACGAAAAATAAGCTATAAAAATTCCTTACGGGAACTATACGGCCAGGAACGCCCACCTGAAATTCAAATAACAATAATGAACACAGAGGCTAAGCGGAGCTTCACCCCACTTTTGACATCACAATGAAAACACATTTGCAAGCTAGCACACAGAAAAGGAAAGCCACTGCATCCAAAAACAGTAAAAAAAAATAAACAACTTCAAAAAGCAGTGTGGAATAAGGTTTTTTGGCGCAAACACTTCCAGAAACACATTCGAAGGCGTTGAATAAAAATTCGAAAAACATTATTGAGCGGCAACTGAGCCAAAAACTTAAGTTAACTCAGTTCAGATCAGTTCAGTTGTTTTTTGATTTTTTAGGCGTTTTGTCGCTTCTATCGATCAGCTCATGATGTACTCATTTTCGATTAATTCGTCTCAAATTTATTTATTCCGCTTTTCTTCCAATAATTGTCCAGTTTTTTCTTGAAAGCGTTCAAGGTCTTCGGGTCAATTAATTCTCCTGGCAACATATTCCAATCTGTAGCTGATCTAAAAGTTTTTCCGCAATTCGAAGTTGACCTTCTTCGTTATCACTTTTTTGTCATTTATCCTTGTGTCACGATTATTCAATTCGAACATGTCTTTTGTATCTTCAGTGAACTGAAACAAAGTTTTGTAGAAATGGTAGAAAGAATCAAAATGATCACTGTTTTCCTTTAAGGAATCTAGCAGTTGGTTGAAAATGACGTGACACATGAGAAAATGATGGAGTTTGAACCTCTGTTGGAAGCTTCGGGAGAAAGCAACCTCCGGAGTATCAACCTGACACATAAGGAATGCCCATGCCACTGCCTGGCACAGACAGTATGGTATCCGGAGTATTCAAACCTCAACTTGATATGGCAGTGGAAGAAATTCGGTCAGTCGGGTTACCCAACCATCAGCAGATGGTCACCCTTTTTGTGGAGAGCTCGACGCTGGCGTTGCGGTGGATCGAGGAAAACGTGACGAAATATCGAGAGTCGAGGGCACCAACAGCGGAATCGATACACGCCATTGATTACAACCGGAGGCTTGAGTTGTTTGAGACTGCGTGCAAAGTTTTCTCTATACCCATGGAGGTGAGGCACGTGAGAGGTCGCATAAGATTCTTCCCATGTTTTCGAGCAAAGGTGACGACTTGGTTGTACACGAAGACGAAAGATCACATGAAGAAGCATCAGAACGAGTATCGGAGTATCGAAAGTTCCTGGCCGAGATAGGGCCGGAAGCTTTCAAGAGTCCCTTGCTAACCCATGCGATAACCACGGGTTGGAAAAGAGTTGAAGGAGGACTTGGAGGAGGACTTGGAGGAGGACTTGGCGAAGAACATGGGCCTGAGTTTGCACAATTCTTTTGCTTGACTAGGAAATCTAAAGTGAAGGGTCTGCCGGATCAGGCGAAGAGGCTACAAGAGCAAAGGGAGTGGATGCGGGCCCACGAACAGCTGAAGGCATGGGAAGAGACGAACAGCTGAAGGCATGGGAAGAGATTGTAATCAGTTCCGATGGCAACGAAGAACTGGCAAGGCAGATTACGATGTCGAAAGTGTCAGGACCCAGTACCTCGAAGACAAGGGCACGAACTGAAGAGGGTGTTCAGGGATTGGTTTTTGAGTCGTGATCGGGGGAAAGAATGTGCCAGTCGGTCATATTTGGAAGTTTGACCTTGAGAGAAGCAAAAAACACTTAATTTTGGAGTGAAATTAAATTTTTCAAAATTTCGAATGGAACCTGTCATGCACGATTTTCTCGCGATAACTGAAAATCAGAAAAGAGAAGTCAGAACGATCGAGTGACAATCGCGGGAAAGTTGCTAGAAAAATCAGTGGAAAATTGCTAATCGCAATTTCAGTAGCGATAATAATCCAGAGTAGAGCTGTCCCATCTAGAAGAGAGACGAGCGCATCCCCACGAACTGGATTGTTGTGATTGGAGTATTATTCTAAACTGGACTAGAGTGAACCTTCGGTGGAAAGGTGGACAGCTAGAGTGTCCCAATGGTTCACGAGAACTGACATTCTAGAGTACAAATTTGTTCTTGTCGTTAAAACTGACAAACATTAAACTCAATTTAGTTACTTTATTGATTCTTGAGTTGCACACCGACTTATTTACTTCCTGATTCTTGAGCGTGCTACAATGTGAGTACTAATTTAAATTTCTAGAGTGTGTTTTACAATTGTCATGTTGAGGTAAGGCGAGTTTTAGGTTGATCCATCTGAAATGGATCAAAGTTCCACTGTCTAATAAAAAGTAATTTAACGGATTGTTCCAACCCGGTTTTTAATGGCGTTCATGTATTTTGGGTATCTAGAGACCTAAGTATGGGGACGTTTCTAATTCTAGAGTGGGGGGATATTTTAGTAGTAGCCTTTAAGCTGTAACGGGTCGTAGTCTCATGTCACAAGCGAACCGAATTGGCTCCGACTGATTTGAGGTACAAAAACACAAGAGATAGTGTCCCTGACTCTTGAGCCAATGGTTATAGGGCCTATTTTTCTTAAGCCTCATGTGTGACTGCAGTAGACGAATGTTACATAGTGTTTTTATGGCGCTCCTGGGTGTTTACGACATCAAGACTACGGAGTCGAACCCACTTGAGACAGCTTCGGGCTGAATGCCCATTCTAGAGTACCGGCGGTACGGTTCGACAGGAACGTGCAAACCTTCCGGTTGTACCGTGATAGCTTTTTAAGAAAACTCAAGAAAACTTCCTGGTACGCTCTCCGAACGAGGCTTAGCTAACCGAGTAAAGGGGAAAACAAGGGGGACAAAAACACGAGCAAAAAGACAAAAAGCGAAACAAAAACCAAAAAAGAATAGAAAAAGGAACAAAAACCATAAAACGAAAAAAGACAGTGACTTTGACACCAGATTAGTTGGATCAAACCTTTATATTAATTAAATAGTATACCCATACTGTTTTACAAGTTCCATCGTTTCGATCAACCTAGTAATTTAATCCAGTAACCTTAATAAAGAGCCCGAGTGTGGGGCGTTGTCAAGGGTTTTCAGATAGCTTGGAACTTAGCTGAACCAATAGGAGACTTGACTGGAAGAGGTGACCAGCCGAGTGGAAAAGTGGTTCAGGAGCACTTGAGCTGAACCAATTGGAGACTTGACTGGAAGAGGTGACCAGCCGAGTGGGAAAGCGGTTCAGGAGCACTTGAGCTGAACCAATTGGAGAATTGACTGGAAGAGGTGACCAGCCGAGTGGGAAAGCGGTTCAGGAGCACTTGAGCTGAACCAATAGGAGACTGGACTGGAAGAGGTGACCAGTCGAGTGGGAAAGTAGCCAAGAAGGATTTGGCAGTTCTCGAGTTCTCAAGTTGAGCAGAATGGGTATCGTTGAAATTCAAATTACATTATAGGAAATAAGTGTAAAATTGGATAAGCGATATCCACCGGTTTTGAGAAACGTTTTTACTTGAGCAGGCCTGGAGACAGGTCTACGGTTTTCTCTTGAGAGGTTTAGCACCCGGCGCTTAAGGTGATTTTAGGCTTAAGAAGGGGGGCTAAAAAGGGGGGAGGTTAGAAGGGGGGCTGGTTAAGTTAGAGGTTGGCGGTTGTAAATTGTAAAAAGGAGAGAAATTAGAGTAACTAATTGGTCGACATCGTTGATTTAGTTACATTAGTCATTTACACGCGTTGGTCATAGGAAACGGATATCCAAAATTGGAATTAGGTTAAGGTAGGTACCCTGGTCGGATCGGTAGGGGGAAACGGACATAGACAGTTTTTGTGATACCCCATAAGATCGCTAGCAGGGGGGAAGGAAACGCGTGGAAATTAGGTACCAGACATTTTTTTTTTCGACGAAAGGTAGACATTGGTCACCTTTGAAGTTTAGGTGGGCTCATTTTTCAGTTTTTATTACTTTTTCTGGCTTGGATTTTTTGGTTGCATTTTGGGGAGGATTTGTGTTTAGTTTTTATACGAACAGGTGATCACAAGATACCTGCGCACAGGTTTTGGTCTCAAGTTGCTTGGAACATTGAAATAGAGGTAACTAAAAAGAAATAAGAAAAAAAGGGGGGTCAGCATTTGGCTTTTAAGAAAGGGTTTTTGGGGAAATTTTACTAGAGCTTGAGTAGTGGTACAAGGCACAGTGAATCAAGAAGTCCAAATAACGAAAAAGAGAGAAGTCCCACCGCTCAGACACTTGTCAAACAGCCTTGGGACAGTGCCAAAGAAGTCCAGGGACAGTGTTGGACCAGAACAGTCTTGATACAGTCTTGGGACAGTGGTCTTGGGACAGTGGTCTTGGGACAGGGTCTTGGGACAGTGGTCTTGGGACAGTGGTCTTGATACATTCTTGGGACAGTGGTCTTGGGACAGTGGTCTTGGGACAGTGGTCTTGGGACAGGTTCTTGGGACAGTGGTCTTGGGACAGGGTCTTGGGACAGTGGTCTTGGGACAGTGGTCTTGGGACAGGGTCTTGGGACAGTGGTCTTGGGACAGTGGTCTTGGGACAAGGGTCTTGGGACAGTGGTCTTGGGACAAGGGTCTTGGGACAGGGGTCTTGGGACAAGGGTCTTGGGACAGTGGTCTTGGGACAGTAGTCTTGGGACACTAGCCTTGGGATAGTAGTCTTGGGACAGTAGTCTTGGGACACTAGCCTTGGGACAGTAGTCTTGGGACACTAGCCTTGGGACACTAGCCTTGGGACAGTAGTCTTGGGACACTAGCCTTGGGACACTAGCCTTGGGACAGTAGTCTTGGGACACTAGCATTGGGACAGTAGTCTTGGGACACTAGCCTCGGGACAGTAGTCTTGGGACACTATCCTTGGGACACTGGCCTTGGGACAGTAGTCTTGGGACACTAGCCTTGGGACAGTAGTCTTGGGACACTAGCCTTGGGTCAGGGGTCTTGGGACACTGACGGAGTACTGGGACATTACCGAACAGTCTTGGGACAGTAAAAGGAAGCCTGGGACGGTACGAAGAAGAGTAGGGACGGTAACTGGAAGTCTTAGGACAGTATAAAAATTGAAGTAAAATTACAACAAGTTATTTTAAGACAGAATTGAGACAGAACAAGACTAATTGGAACCCGGTACGGTTGGGACCACGAATAAAGAAAGTTACTTGAAGATTTTAGAGAACTGGAACAAGGTTTTTATCACGTTGTATATTTTCTTTTAAGAATTTGTTTCCACAAAATTTTTTTTTATTCTTAGAATAGAATTGTGTATATAATAATATTGTAAATAAGGGAAATTGTAAATAGAAATAATGAAACGGAGTAGGGTACCGGTGCTTGAAAAAAGGTCAAGTGGATCAAACACGAAATATAACTCGTCGCTGCGTGGAACAACATCAAGGGGCACAGGCAAAACAAGAAATAACTTTTCAGTTAGCATGGTCAGCACGAGGAGTGGCACCGAGAGCAAGACGCGAGAAGATGCGAGGGAAAAACAGGTGGAGCCTACAATCGAAATCGACCTAGAGACACCAGACCAGAGCGTAGATGAACTGGAGAAAAAGACGACGGAGTCAACTCCAATGCCCAATGCAGAAGAACCAAACCCGAAACCCATAAAGTTCTCACCAATAGACGATGTGGAAGATGCAATTGGCAACACCGAAGAAACGATGAAAGAAGACTCTCAAGTAA